ATTGCGTGCCGTTATCATGGACACTCCGTATGTGTTCCGGTATCTGGATCTCACCAATTGCAAGGGCGCCCAGCTCTCGTGGATGCCTGCCATCCACGGCAACTTGAGTGCTGCTCGTATAACGGATCAGCCCATGGCGGAGGAACAGCTCTACTCAGCACCCCTGCGGACCATATTCGACGACCTGGGCCGACGGTCGGTCCTCCAAGACGTCCGGACGCTGATTCTCGACGGCCTCCCAGTCACGGCCGAGCTGGTCTCAGACATCCTCTTGACCGACCGCTTCCGCGTCTCCCTTCTCTCGATCCGGGGATGCCTCCATCTCGACGAGCACAAGCTCCGGCAGGTCATTGAATACGCGGTACGGCCCGACCGCGCCAAGGGGTCGCCAAGCGTAAAGGGAATCTACTATTTCTCTCCCAAGCCCATCGCTGTTGCGACTCCGGCAACTCCTGCGACTCCTGCCAGCAGCGCCAGCCCATCAGACGACAGGAGGCTGCCAGGCTGCAACACGTCGACGCTTGGCCACCGAGACTCGTCAAACCATCGCCGGCACCGCCAGCGTCATCACCGCACCTTACATCGCTCTGATCTGGGCTCGACTGTCGTGCAGGCGGAGGAGCCCGTTGATCGATCAGGGGTGCTCGCAAACCGCCCAGGCTGCCTATCTCTGGGCAGCGAGTGGTACCGCGAGCCAGGCCAAGTCCTGAAACTGCCCTCGGTGCAGAATGGATGGGCGCATACGCTGCAGCTCTGCCAAGGAGTAATATCCTTTGACGCTCCCCTGTGTAGGGGCGCCAGACACGATCCAAATCTGTATATCATGTACACCAATAATGAGAGTCACCAACAATACCACCAGGCTATCAACAGCCAATTTCAGCACCCTCAAGGCGATAATACTCTCTCGGTTATCACTGCTGTCTCTGGCCCCCTTTTGCCTCCTGCCATTGCGACTGTCTCGCTAGGACCGGCGGGCTGCGATGGGTGCCGCACCTCTCCTGAGGGGCCCCTGGTATGGCAGCAGTCCCCCGAGCAGCATTTTCCGCTGCTGACACCGCCGCCCTTGCACTCTTACAAGACCGCCGTCGCCAAGGCTCCCACTCTCCGCCTAGATGAATCCCCAGTGTTAATCGCCCAGTGTGAAGAGTGCCTAAGAGGCCGGCGATGTCACAGGTGCAACCGATGGATGTGTGCTGCATGTTTGCCTGATACAACCAAGCCGTGGCCACCAAAAGTACAAAAACTTGGGCTGGAGACAGCAGGCGACTCAACTTTATCAGTAAAGGTATTTTATCTACGGTTTTCTTTTTTCCCTCCTTGTTTATCATTTGAAAGCCGCCTGATCTACAGAAGCCCACAGCTGCTGTGTATCCTCTGAGACCTGCCTTTATTTCGCCCAAGAATCTTCGACCTTCTTGGCTCAGCCTTTTCGTTTAACTGTCAATTGATCTCCAGATCTAATCTTACTAACCTTGGCTCAAGTATCAGAATCGACCATTCATGCGCAGGGACTGTTGGGAATGCGGACCTACTGTAAGTCTGCCTTCTCCTGCTCGGGTTTCTCTCATGAATATTCCAGTGCTAATAGGGCTGTATCTTTACCAGTGCCTGTCTTGTATGATTGAGGTACTCCGTTCATGCGTTGCCTGCGGAGGAGAATACTGTATCGACCATAACGATGGTTGCTCGCCCACTAAGGTAATTAAGCCAATGATAATGACCGCCGTCAAAAGCATAGAGAGAGAGAGAGCTACATGGTATTAACATACTTCTCACAGTGCGATTGGTGCAATACTACTACTCCACGCCGAATGATACGCGAGCTTCACTAACTATCGTATGTCATCGAACCTGTAGGGTGTTAGCCCGATGAGGTTTGACCGATTCAAGCTCGAGTGCCTCATCCATTTTGAATCCTGTCTTCATCATAACCTTTTGAACAGAGTCCGTATCTTGGACTTTAGCTTCTCTCCACTCTTGACCAATTCCTATCTTGTTGGCCACGTCTTTTACATATCCCATCTGCGCATCAAATTTTAAGGCTCGGTGTACGGAGTATTCTGTATCTGTTTGCTCCATGCCCTCTCTCTCCACTCTTATTTCCACCGTTCCTGCTTCTTCCATGTCCTCTTTATCTCCCCGATTTGGCTGCTGGGTCGAGATTCTATTTCGCATTGCATTGGGGCATTTTCAATGACAAGTGTGCATCCGTCTGCGGCGCATACAGGCGAAAAGGCTTCTAGGGGAACGGAATGAAGGGAATTGTTATTTTATTTTATGGCGTTCTGGCCGGCCTGTGATAGTAGTTCCTAGCGTCATTTGGATTTCTATCGCGTTCTCTTCAATTAACGATAATGTGCATTTTCACAAATTCCCGCCTCTTGAATGATATTTTACTGAGACGGCTCCATGGCGGCTTATACAATTGACTTGGGGTAAATCTCATTTTCATTATACTGCTGCCTATAATAATACTCAAGCAGTAGAAAGGTAAAGGAAATGATCCCGTCTACCATGAATACGGCAGGTTAGACATATTAGCATTTTTGCGCCTTCTAAGAAGAATGCCATCCCACAACGGCCTTGTCTACATCTGACCTGTATTCTTGCTGCTTGTAACATTGCTCCAGGAAAACCTTGTACTTCACCTCGAGCAGCTTCTTTTCGTGCTCATCTTTGGTCGGGTAAACTGCCTTGCCGGGTTTGCTCATTCGGTCCATTATATCCCATAGGCCTTCAGTCTTCCCATCCTTGTCAGCGCTGGCGGCTTTGGCTCCGAGCATGGCGGCACCATGGCAGACTGCAGCGTGGACGTAGCGAGGGACAAAGACGGGCATCGAGCAGGCCGATGCTATTAGTCCCATCAGGATATCGTTCTGGCATTGAGAGCCAGACATAAATATCGAGGTAATATTGTGGCCAGCCTTGTTCATTGTCTCCACGATCTGGCGTGTCTGCAGTGCAATAGATTCCAGAGTGCCATAATAGTATAGGCACAGTCCATTGACAGATTTATCGCTGGACAGGCCAATGACCGCACCGGACATTTGTGGGTCGGCAATTGGGGACCTATTTCCAAACAGGTCACCGTAGAGGAAGAAGTGACGGCCAAGGTAGGATATGGAGGGAGCCTTGGATTCGGCTGCCATCTCTCTTAGACGTTCATTCAGGTAATCGTAGATGTTAGAGTTGTAGGACTCCGCGACCGAGAGAGCTTCATTGAATGCCGGGTGGGTTTCGATAACGTGTTTAAGCAGCTCGCCAGTGGCCGACTGCCCGCCTTCTGCCATCCAGAAACCCGGCATTATGGTATCACGGTAGGGACCCCAGACACCAGGAACGAAGACCGGATTAGGGGACATGGCTAAATGGCAAGTGGAGGTACCAGCCACTGCAGCCAAGCGAGTGAAAGCCTGGGTTCTGTCGTTGTTAGCAGCATCAGAGCTCAACAGATCAGAGTCCAAGTCGACTTTGGCACCAACAGTCCCGATCCACCCTGCGTACGCATCAATCACACCGCTACCGACTGCAATGCCAGCAGGAAGGCCAAGTTCAGCGGCAGCGGATTCACAAAGTCCACCAACCAGCTCACCAGCGCTCAGATATTCTCCGTTCTGTCACCCCTGCGTTAGTCACTCATGTTCGGTAGAAATACTATGCTTGGTGAGTTCAGTCATACCTCTCCGTTGACGCCACCCATCCTCTTGAAGTTATCGGCAGCAAGGTCCTCCAAGCCAATTGCGTTTAAAAAGTCGGGTTGCCATCCCTTGATGCTTCCATCAACGCCGACAGGGACATATCCCTGTTTGCAGACTACGCTGCAGAAGCTTCTCTTTTCGTTGCCAGTGGCCAGGTGAGTGAGTGCGTCTGCTAGGTCATAGAACTTGCATCTATCAAACAGCTCCTTTGGCATGTTGTTTTTGAGCCAGAGGGCCTTTGGGATCTCCATCTCGATGGACATCTTGCCTCCGACATATCGGAGCAAGTTGTGGCCGGTAGCATTGATCTTTTCGGTCTCGTCCACGGGGCGATGATCGAGCCAGAGGATAACGTTGCGTTCGGTATCGAAGTTGGGTCCAGTGACAGAGATGGGTTCGCCGGTATCGTGAGCGAAGACAGCTAGTGAGCAGGTCGCGTCAAACCCGATGCCTTTGATGGAGAGTGGGTTGATGTTGTGCTGGCTGATAACTCGCTGGACACACATGCAGATGCATCTCCAGATATCGGCAGTCGATTGCTCCTAGTTATCCACATCTAGTCGTCAGTCTCAAGGATACAAGGTATAGGTATGATGGCAGAACATAAGACGACAAGGGGCAAGAGAGACTCCTTACATAGTAGCCCTGCTGGGGCTGCCAGAGACCGATGTTTTCGGATGCCAGCCCAACGATATCGCCTTTATCGTTGATGATGCAAGCTCTGGCACTGCCGGTGCCAACATCGACGCCGATGAAGTGATCCATCAACGGGTTGATCTCGTTCCTGGGATCCATGGTGGCCTGTCTCGAGACCTGCTGGGACGGTTGAAAGGAGCTCATGGTGAAGGGTGTAGGCGCAGGTATAAATACGCAGCAACTCTGGTTTCTCTGGCGCAGACTCCTCCTCCCCACGCCGTTTGCCTTGGATGTCCTACGAGAGAGGTGCGTGGAAGTGGGTGTGTGTTCCTGGCGGGCCGGCCGGCGGCTTCGCAGAGGGGACTCTCGCCGGTAGGGCTGGAAAGGGCGCTATTTGGGTCGTAATACAGGCCAGAAAAAGGAGGCAATTCCTGTTTCGCAGACAAAGAATGCAGCCTTGAATCCGGCGAGCGCGACGAAGCTGGAGCTGCTGTTAGTTAGCCGGATTATTTGAGCCGTTTTTGCGTGAAAGCTTGGGGGTTGATATGGGACCTTGTCTATCTTCTCGAATATTGGGCTGTTCCGACCTCTCCTTTTTCGCCTCTCCTTTTCCAGTCTCCCTAACTGATTTCTCGGGCCTGATGTCTTTTATATAACTGTCGTCCGCACGGCCAGTCGAGGTGAGCTGCGGTAGAGCTGCCTGGTAAAGTAGACAGAAACCCCCCCCCACTGCTGCTACTACAAGTACCGGCTCAACGCTGAACCCACCAGCCCACAGCCAACGCCAGGATCTGGCCTGCAGCGATCCTCGCCATCCCGCGCCCTCGTTCTCCACTGCGTACGCATCGTCCTTCCTGTCCATCGTCTGCTCATCGTGCATCGGCCGGTCGTTCGTCTTTTGCTTTGTTGTCGTCCTGCCGTCTCTCCGTCGACTCCATCGCCGGTCCACAGAGAAGAGGGGAAGAGGGCGACAGCGAGGCAACGCTCGACTTGTTCCTGTGCCATTGGTACTCCCAGCACTGTCGATCCTCCTCCCGCCAGCAAGTTTCAGCTCGATCTTCGTCCTCCGTCCATTGCTTCTTCTTGTTCTTCTTTGTCGTCGTCGTCGTCGTTTTTTTGCTGACGTTGAAAAAAGGTGCGTAGCTGTAGGATCACGTGATATCACCAACTCTCTTCATCGATTTCAACGTCAACAAAAGACGGGGAAAACGAGGCTAAAGACGAAGACGAAGAAGAAGACAAAGAGAGGCAAAGGAAGCGGAGGAAAACACGAGCAGAGACAATGAGGCTGCTGTCTGTCCTGCTCGCCGCGACCAGCGTGGCCTCTGCTGCGGCCATGCTGCAGGCAGAGCTCTTCTACCAACCGGTCACGGCATCCTCGAAACCAGTCGAGCTCGCGCAGATAAGCTACGATCCGGCTACGCTGCGGTCCAAGGTCATCTCCTACTCTCCTCCCGAGCCCTCTGGCCCTGACGCAGCCGGTGATCTGGTCCGCATCGGCACATCGCCCCAGTCGAGCACCTGGGCCGGCGTCCTAGCCTCCCGCGCCCTCCTCCAGTCGTCTCCCTCGAGCAGCTCTCCCCCGCCCACTTTCTCCCTCTACCTGGATCCCGAGGACCGTGTATATCATGTTGGAGTTTCACCTTCGTCGCCGTCGACATCCACGGGCGGCGCAGGCAGCCATCTGAACCAGGCCGGGAAGCCGTTGCAGATGAAGGTGCAGCTTATCCGCTCCCGACCTGCTGCTGTCCCGCAGCTGAACAAGCCCATTGCAAGAAGAGCAGACGATGCAGATGACGAGCAGGCGGAGGTTCCCTTGATGAACTCGCTGCTCCAAAAGTGAGATCGCCCCTCCTTGTCCTGATACATACCAGGAAAAAGATGGTTGATTGCTAACTGTTCAGCAGGTACTGGTGGCTTCTGCCGATTGTCTTTCTGCTAGCTGTGGGAGGCGGCGGGTCTTGATTCTACTCGTTGGCCAGTTTGACAGTGTATAATATGAAAATCGGCGTTGTCATCAAAGTATATAGTATGAGCGTATACACAAAATGTTATGACCTGATCTACGCATCCAAATCCATCTCTTCCCCGTCATCATCTTCATCCTCGTCTTCGGCTTCCATATCATCATCATGCATGTCCTCATCTTCATCCTCGTCCTCATCCTCCGCCTCAGTCTCATCGCCAACAACATTGCCGTAGGACAAAGGTCTTTTGCTTAGTTCATCTGCCACAACATCTTCCTCCGCCTTTATCACTCCCTTTAGCCTCAGGGCAGATCTATTCGAACCAAGTTGCCAAAACATCAGGCCCTTGTCAGTCAGCAGGGTGAGTTCGTTCTCGCCATTGGTAAACTTTAGTCCAAAACAAACAGCGTCCAAGTTAAGTATTATGGGCTTCAGTTCAACAACGTCCTTCCACCCGTCTTCTGTCTTTTCGTAGTCCTCCTCCCCGCTAGATCGAGGAACAGTACTTGCTCTTGCACACGCGCCGGGGTCTCCAGGGTAATACATGGAAGGGGGATAGTATGCCTCCTTGTTTCGCATAAGCACATGGTACGGCTCGAGCGGCCAGACGTACAAGGTCTTCCAGTTTGCAATCGCAAGCCGAGTACCCCTGGGCGAGGAAGCTATGAGCCCCGTCAGGTTGGATTCGTTGGGTTTAAATCCCCAGAGCTTAGCAACCGTTACCCAGCGTTCAATACGCCTACCACGGTCCAGGTTAAGAATATGGGCACATCGGTCCGATCTGCACTGCGCTGTTGACCGGAGGATATACGCACCTACCCGGCCATTCGGAGGCAGGCGTGTAAAACCGACTGATGCATAGTACCAGTCACAAACTCCGTTTGCGAAGTTCCTTATGTGGTACCCATAAAAGGGGATCCCTACCTGAAATCGTGAAGATATAGGGGGCGACGTTCCGTCGTATTCGGGTCTTCTAGCATAGCAGATGTTGTCGAGAAGACGGCCCCGATGTGCAGATCCTGAGCTAGAAGTATCTGAAGAGCTAAGAATGCGTTGGAATTGGTCGTATATTATGGACGACGAATGCCAGTATATGACCTGCTGGTGGCGGTCATTAAAGCGAACTTGCACAATTGGATCAGGCAGATGCATGGCTGAATCCGAGAAGTGCCGTCGGCGTGCTATTTCATCACCATCTACCAATGTAGTCGTGTTGTATTCCACGTCTATAGTGAAGAGCCAATCCCGTCAGCCTATCAAGGACATTTAGAGGGTTTAGGGGCACTAATCTGAAGAGCCAAACCTACATGAACAGCCGCCCTTTCGAACCACAACGTCAGACTCATCGTATTTGTGCAGACAAACTTTGGTGACCCGTGGTGACTCCTTGTGCTGCCACGATACCACAACACACTCCTGGTCGACGACATCAATTGCGAGAGGGGTGTATATTTCTTCCAGCTCAGTGGGGAACACAGTAAACACCGTCGGCCTCCATCCGCCTTTGGGGGAGTCGATGGAATAGTGAACCAATCGGATGCGAGCAGAGTAATACGGCATCATTGTCTCCTCCACAAACGGGTGCATAGAGGGCGAGTCTGCTGGGTTCGCCCGAGGGTTGTAGCGCTGGAGCACTGATATGATGTTTGGGTATGAACGGCTGTTGACAACGCGTAGTATCTCAATCTCACCAGGGATGTCACTCGGGCACTCTAGCTTGCCTGCGCATAACATTGTTTCCTCCGGGCGTAGGCTTGGGTGACCCATCAGATACAGGTATACGGATGCACTGCCCCTTGGAACCAAAGCGAGTGATGGATGGGCGAAGTGTTGCGGCTCCTCATGGGGGGTTGAAAAGAAGGAAGAAGCCTTGGTATCTATCACGCCCTCTTCCATCGTGTATAGTGTGGTATCAGAGTGGAAATTGGCCCCGTATAAATGAGTATCTGCCCTCGACATGAGCTCCTGGTATAGCTGTGCAGTTGACAGCCCTTCCAAAGGGATGCCATCATCCCCGGCTTCCAACGGGCCAGGCAGCTTCAGCAGCTGATGGCGCAGGACCTCGCGACATGTCTTAGCAATTGTAGAGAGCGTCGAGCAAGTACGGATAAGCTGGAGGAAGCTGGGTGTCGAGCAGCACTTGAGCACCAGCTGGAGGAGTTCCACCGGCAGATCTAGCAGGCTATTGATCTTTGCCATCGTGGCTAGCAGGGTTACAGAGCTCCAGGCCCCAGCGGGACGCGATATAGGAATGAGATAAATAGTAAGAATAACGACGATGATGAACGAAGTCAGCGTCTGGAGCTGTTGTTGTTGTTGTTGTTGTTGTTGTTGTTGTTGTTGTTGTTGTTGTTGTTGTCGTTGTTGTTTTAATAGTCGATGCGGGCTGAGTAGTTTTATCGCTTGGCGTTGTTCTTTTAAGGTTGAGGCTCTGTTAGGCAGCAACAGCATCGTTTTCTATCGATTTTTATCGATTTTATGATCTAGCAAAACTCGCGGCTAAGGATATATTTTGTACGAAGAACGTGATAAGTATATATAGAACGCAAGTGAGAACGCAAAGCACGCCGGTCTACAACTCCAACACCAGTTTATGTAACCTCCAATTTTCTGAAATACGTTAGAACAATCACCGCAGAGGCAAAAGTATTCGATACAGAGAATCCCCCAGTAGTCAATATGGGGGACCCGAAAGGAGTAGAGGAAACACCTCGTATTTCTCGCTCGTGTCTTTTCCTTTTTCAGGTATGAGTTGCCCACCATTCTAGGATGGACTCGTAGCAGAGGACAAACTGGCGTAAACTCTGGACCATGCTTAACCTCTGGGATCGAAAATCTTCGACTGTCGAGGCCACAAGGTCGGTTGTGTCCTCGTATACCCAGCTTGGCTCCGTCCTATCGGAGCTCTGGGACGCCTTCCTCTGACGCTTGAGCATGTCTATCACGCTGTCAACGGTACAGAAGGTTCCTGTCCTACCACAGCCCGCACTGCAGTGAACAATCACCCTGCGTTGACCTGCTGGGTCTGGATTGTCCTGATGATTCGGAGAGGAGCGGCCGGTCGACCCGCTCACGACAGCGTCACATTCCTCGATCAGGCGTAAGAGATGGTATGGTTTTGCTGGAGTGCCGAAATCGGGCCAGTCCGAATACTGGATCTGGGTGATCTCTCTCGGGGGTTCGAAGGGCTCCTTGGAGTTGGTCATGCTGAAGTGGCGGATAATGAAGTAACCGGTCTCTGATGGCTCGCATTGTCGCCGGTCAAGGGGGATGGCGCCTTCGCTGACGAGCTGGACACGTAGATTGCCATAGTCGGCAGACCTCCAGTATGGGTGGCATTTGACCTGCGCTCCATCCGTCTCGGCTGTTAGCATGACGATAAGCCGTACATCCTGTTCCCATACCACCCGCCAAAAGTCCTAAACAGACCGTTAGTAAAATGGAGGGCTACAAAGAAAGCATATGGAGAAAAAGAAGAAGGAGAAGAAGGAGGAGGAGAGGGATGTGTACGTTGAATGTAGCAGGCATAGGGGCCTGGGTGGCTATGTAGCGTTTGTGGGAGCGCGAAGATCGGATAAAGCTGGCATTAATGTAGTCACAGCTGCTCTCGGTGGTGTCTAATAACTTGACACGGCAGTGGTCGTAAGGATAAATGTTGTTGTATCTGTTTTTGGACCCCTTTTCGATGCCGGCAATTCTATAAGGACGCTTGCCGGGAGTTTGTCCCTCGATGTTGGTGGATGTCCCAGGAGCAGAAAGGGCCTGCTGCATACGGCTCTGTTCACCCTTTTCGATGTTGAGGAACCGGACAGCAGCTGTCTTTCCGGCATCTTCAGCATTGGCAATGCGCGAGAGCCAGGCTGGCAAGGAGCGTCTGGTGGCCTCGTCCATTGCAGCGGGGAGGGTGACGGGAAGCTGGCCAACGCCACCGATAAGGTCAACGTTCTGGCGGATGTTGGAGAAGAAGGGATTGACGGGGTTTGACGAAGGAGTGGGCATGACGCAACCACCGGCGATTGATGGGGCTGTCGGGAGGGTAAGACTGATAGATAGATTATTCTTAGCACGGCCCGGAGCCGTGGAGGAAGAAGATGAGTTAGGAGAGGTGCACGCGGCGGCCGCGGCGGCGGCAGCTGATGATGATGATGAGGACGCCGGCGGTAGAGAGCTCTCGATCCAGTCGGGGAACTGAGTTGAGAAGCGGCTAAAGCCGCCAGTGAGGACGAGAGACTCGCCCTTCCAGCCTTCTCTGGTGAACTTCTGGAGCAAGCTGACCAGCAAGGCCGCGTCCTTTGGCAGGCTGGTGGAGGAATCGTAGACTATGATGCGGGTGCTTGACCGCCACCGGTTGAAATTGGACTTGTCCTGTCCGGTGCCAAAGGTCTCCTCGACTTTCTGCAGGTTGAACGAGGGCCGTTTAAGGAGGGTTGTGGGTATGCAGAGATTGAGAGAGCCCTTGATATGGGCCTTTGTGAACTGCAGCAAGGGCCGCACGTCGAGCAGGAGGGTCTCGCTCTGGGACGAGCGCAGTATTTCCAGACATCGCTCGGCCGTGACCATCTTGGCGTCACCGAGATCGTGGCTGACGGGAATCGAATGTGTTCTATGTAGGGATATGGCCGACGGCTTGTGCTGGCCCGCCGGCGACAGAATCCTGTTGATCTGGGCAGCCGCCGGAGTCGAGGTAAGATGATGGCCGCCGTATTTGGCGCCGCCGGCCACGACACCGGCGGCGGCAGAGGAGGCGGCGACCAGCGGCGTCGAGGCACTGGAGGCGAAGGGCGAGGGCTCCTCGAGCAGCGGATGAAAGGCCGACTTGGAGGGTCCCTTTGGCGGCAGTTTTGGGGTGAACGAGTGTTGCTGGTGTATCAGCGGCGAGCTGACAGCGGGCTCCCGCTCTGCAGCAGTCCTGCCACTGAACCGCCGCTCGAGCAGGCTATCTGTGCTCTTCCGCGAGGGGACAACAAGCTTGGGCGCTGCCGTGCCCGTTGATGTTCCTGGTCCTGGTCCTGGTCCTGGTCCTGGTCCTGATGCTGATGCTGATGCTGATGCTGATGCTGTCCCCGGGCCCGCACCGGTGCTGGGGGGGATGCCAAAGGCGAACTCCCTGTCTCGGGATGCCGACGGGTGGAAGAAGGGCACGGCATCGTTGGCGGCGGCGGCCGTCGTGTTTGCAACGAGGTCAAAGTAGCCTCCCGTGGACGATTCCTCCACGCATCGCGGCGAGAAGGGCCCGCTGCCGAAGAACGAGGCGGTTATCTG